CTCAAAGTCCGAAAGCTTCTTCAGGAGCAACTGGGAGTAAAACTAAAGACATACCTCTCTCTCTCTCTGTCTCTGTCTCTGTCTCTGTCTCTGTCTCTATCTCTCTCTGTCTCTGTCTCTCTCTCTCTCTCTCTCTCTCTCTCTCTCTCATGGAAAGGGCGTGTCAAAAGAGGTCATATACATGTAGTTATAATGTACTTTACGAGGCGGTGTAAGCCAGGTCAAGGGAGTAATTATAAAAAGAAATCAATACTAGAGCTAATAAATCCTCATTATTGCTGAAAAAACAGAGCAGGTGGGGAGAGTGTTAGTTAACTTTCATCCAGAAAATATAAATAAATTTAAATGAATTTAACCTAAAACAATAACACCCACACCTTTAGAGCTAGTTATCTTGATCTTATTAAAATATTAGTCTTTCGTAGTCATTATGATCTTATTAAAATATTAGTCTTTTGTTGTCATCATGCGTTCATAAGGAAGGGTGTTGGAGAAAATTAAGTAGACTTAAAATTCCTACCGTCTCTCTCTCTCCTCTCTCAATCATACACACACACACACACACACACACACACACACACACACACACACACACACACACAAACACACACATGTATATTTCTATATGCATTTATAGATATATGTTAACTATATAATATACATGTACACACGATTAAAGCAAATATCCTCCTGTTCCTTATTACAATGGGCAACAATAACAGGTTTTTAATTTGATTCCATTTGCTAATTAAAACATTTTGCTTGAGTTGAAGAAAGGCTGTAACAGTCTGAGGGCTCGTTTCTGTCCCCAAGAGGACCTTCATTCTCACTCACCTCAATTTTGCTTTAACTTCTAATGATTAAATACCACGGGAATCTAGATCTAGTACCAACATGTAAAAGCCATACAATAAATAATCACAGCTTGTCTTATTGAGCTCCGCAAGACTTACGCATTCACGCAGCCCTGTGTTTAGGAGAAATTATTATGCATTTAAAATGAAACTGAAAGATAAATCGTGAGTAATGAAATATGGTAGACTATTCCAAGTTGTATTTATTCACCCGTTTTATTAACATAGTAGGGTGAATGGTTTGAGGGCGTCACTAATTGGTCCCACTTTTTAAGTTTCTCTCTTTGTTCCTGTGTGCATGTATTCTTTTTTCCCCAGCACCAAATACTCATTATTGTGTCGACGTCCTTCAGTTTACTCAGACAAACAATACAGACTGGTCAAGGCAACGAGTCTAACCATTTACCTAGCCTGGGTACTGGGTATGAAACTGTGGAACATAACTAGCATTGATATTATATATCAAACTCCCTGGCCATTATAGATACTTGCTACGCATACTTAACAAAGAAGAGAACATTTTCATTTCTATGAACAGTTTTATTACAATTATGACTCAAGATGACGAAAGACTAAATTTGATATTTGTCTGTTTTGCTACCTACTTTTTAAAAACCCACTCTGCCTCTGTGTAATTCTCGGATTTTGGAGGCAAACGAATGAGATTCCTAAATTTAATTTTAATTAAAGCTTGATTTTTATTGTCAACTTATTTTATGTCTTTGGTTACCATTACCAACCACGCTTCCATTGAGCCTGTTCTTTCTATCAAGTGGTGTGCAGTATTTATCAGTTTCATTGTTTTACTTTTTGAATAACGCTTTACATTCCTCGAATTAGTTCCAGCGCATGTGATAGCAATCGCAATAAGTATCAGTGGCCATTTTGCACTAAATATGAAAGAAAACACTTACTGAAACTATCAAACACCCTAGCTGCCAAGTTTTAAAAATATTATTATCTGCAATATGCGAACGATAGCCTTTGCAATTATAGACCACTTCTCCAGATGTGTTGCTCAACCGATACTTTTACTTTACTTCTTCTTTCTCTGGTATCCTTAGGATGTCGCAGGGAGGTGCACGTTTCGGTCTTGTGCTAAGTGTGTGGCGTCTGTGATAGATATGTTATGTTGTTCCAGGACCTATTTAACTCCATCCAGCCAGGTTCTTCTTGGTCTTCGATGCTTGCTTAAATCTGGTGCGTCCGGACGCTCAAACAATGCCTGCGTCTCTGGCCATGCCGTAGAATATAGTGGAGGGGTCAGATAGAAGAGCGCTGGGGGCAGCGAACTCCTTGATGTAACCCCTGTCCAGCACCATCACCCTGCGTTGTTTTGTTTTGTTGTTGGATAATTTGGGAAGAAAAATGGGTTTCGGGGGTGGGGGAATGAAAACACATGAAAGTTTGATCAAATGAGGAGCGTATAAGAAATTGTTTAACTGATTTTAAAAGCTGACAGTCCTTGGACGTAGGGGTGTATCTTTGTGCTTGACCCACGACTTTGTTGTAAAACCAGAAAGGCCTGACATTATCTCATTTTATCAACACATAAGTGAAGAAACAGCAGCCGTAAATGTATTTAGGCCTTCAGAAAGCCAGTCGCAAAACCATGAGATTTAGCCACATCTAAGCAGTCCGAAAACCGTGGACACGTCTCTCATGACTCATTGAAGCGGAGGAAGATAGGACGAACGCTAACATTACATAACCACTCAATCTCACATCATCACTCACAACCACCATCACATCTAAATTCATCATTGCTATCAAATTCTTGACATACATCTATATTCCTTAAATCTTTATCTGCAACAATTATTCAATTTAATAATAATTACGTATGTAATACACCGTTGTGCATTATCATACACACCTTTTTCTTAAAATCAGACGTCGTCAATCTCAGAGAAACCGTCAAAGAAAAAAAACAAAACAACAAAAACAACAACAACAAACAAACAATAAAAAAAGAAAAAGAAGAAAAAGACAAACATAAAACAACCCGAAACAAACCAGTCCAAAAACTCTAACACAACAGTCTATCATCTCACCTGTCGTAGTCTAAGATGGTGTTGAGCCTGTGAGCAATGGTGAGTATTGTCGAGTCCTGGAACTGTGTCCTAATAGTTTTCTGAATGAGCTCGTCCGTCTCAAAGTCCACAGCCGCTGTGGCCTCGTCCAGCACCAGGATCTTGGTCTTCCTCAACAGAGTCCGCGCCAAACACACCAACTGACGCTGACCAACGCTGTTGACAGAACATTGACCAGTCTGACGTCAGATCAGGAGGTTGAAAATGATATTGCTCAAAATAATACAATTACTTTGAGGAGAAGAAAAGAAAACAAACAAACAAACAAAAAAGAACCCCCCGCCCACACACAAACATACACCAAATACCCACCTAAACCAGAAACAAAACAATACAAAAACACCCCAAAACAAACAAAAACAAACAAAAAAACCCAAAGCAAAACGAAGGAAAACAATAATTATATAACCAAACAAATTATTCTACTCCTGCGCCTCGATTTTGTTTCATTGCATATGTTTTTGATGCCCTCATCGACACAATTGAGATCATTTAGAAAGCAATCTCTGTTCCTGCATGTCAGGGCCAACCAGAACTGAGAGAGATATGTGCTGTGACAAGCTTAATACACTTAATATCCCCCCCCCCTCACGTGCCAAAAACATTGTCAACATTCTCTGTAGACCCACTTCCGTGTAGCAGTCTGTAGTCCCACGTTGAGGCACCAAATCCCAAAAACATATCGGACACTTATGAGCCCTAATACAGTCCTCTGACGATAACCGGGGCTCTCGTGACTTAGAGGTTAAGGTGTTTGCCTCTCAAAGGTCCCAGGTTCGAATCCGGGTAGCGACGTAAATTAAATTCTTCTCTAAAATTGTCTTCTTTCACAACTTTATCTGCTCTCTAGCCATGTTCTGTCGTCTGTTTTCGTCTCCACTTTCCACCCCCACCACCTCACCTCCTTTGTCCCCTCCTCTGGGCTCCTGACTCTTTCTGCAGCCTTTCTACTGCTACTCCTCGGCCCCTTCTTACGGCTGTCTTTCAGCCACACCCCAGATCTTGTGGTAGGAAAGATCAACACCTAGCCTTCTCGGTCAAGGGCGAAAAATCTCAGAGATCCTGTGTGCAAGTTGCGCACGCTTAAGATACCTTGGTGGTCTAAAATCGATAAGAGTGGGCTTCGACCCCCACCAGGGCAAAATTCAAAATTTCCTACAAACTGAAAATGAATAAATTGTCCCTCGCGCTCATATGATCTTGTGCAGTTACGAGCGCCGTAAAACACTTACCCAAAAAGAAAAAAAAAAGACAACCCACTCTGTGAACAGAGCTGAAATAAGTGTAACTCGTCTGACCAAACTGCGCTTAAACTAAAATCTGAGTGTCCCGTAAACTTATTTGGTAACATGTTGACCAAAGATGAAGATAATTGCGGTTCGAATCCCTATGGACACATTCTTGAAATCGGGCCGTATAGTAGGTTTTCAAGGTTCCCAGCCATCTGGCTCGGTCCTTTGATCGGGGATTGGACTTTAAATCGCAGGTCCGGCCTACCCACCCTCCACTACTTCTACTAAACAAAACCCTAACATTTCTAGTACACAAGACCACGGCTACAAATTGAAATCACCAATTAACCGTCAAATCTCTAGGGGTGTTTCTAAATCTTGACCTTTTGGGAGAGTTCAAGACTCTCCATCACATCTTTCTTTTGTGTCAAGCGCATAGAGCTTACTGTTGAGCGGGGGTATGTGCTGTACACTACAAATGCTATTTATCATTGATTATTATTATTTTTCTATTTATGGACCACCGACCCAATGTTTGGGACTAAAAGTGCTCAAATAGGACGTAAATTAAAAAATCAGGCTCTAATGTTTTAATTAAGTAAGGATTACCTGAGGTTGCTGCCTCCCTCCCCACACTCATAGTACAGGCCACCCTATGGAACAAAATAAGAAAAATTGTTCATGTTATGTATTACGAAAATATCGTTCAGTTTGCTTTTATAGTACAGAAATAGAATGAGATATAAAGTACCAGGCAGTAGCCTCCACAGCTCAATTTTTGAAATAGCGACGGAATTATTAAATGCACACGACTTAAACAAGTAATTGTTATTCAGGTCAGGAGTTTAGCTTAAATCTGCAAAAGACACTGTTCTGAGTCCTGGAGGATCTACTTTGAAAAAAAAAGTAGAGTGGACAAATGGGAATGAGATTTTGATTTAAAAAAAAGTAATTTTCAACAACAACAACGGATAGGCTACCCCACAACAACAGAACCGTATATGAATGTGTGTGTGTGTGTGTGTGTGTGTGTGTGTGTGTGTGC